ACTTGTCTTTATAATAGGTTAAATGGGGTGTGCGATAGACCTACCTCCACGTGGTGCACCCTGAGCAACGTATACTCATACGGCAAAAAAGTCTATTAACTGGCAGTTGACTTCTCACTTCAAACTGCCATGATCCCACTGTATGCCATATTCGACTACTTCCACAGTACTCACTTCACCTTTTTTCTACCTTCGTCTTTGAAGCACTCTTCTGTTCCCCCCCCCCCCCTTTCAACTTTTTTTCCACTTTGTTGTTTCTTCCCCTCTGTAAAGCCTGAAGTCAACTAAAGGGCTAATGATAACTATCAGAACGCCTGCCATTTATGTAAATAAATAATAGGTTAAATAGGACTTTGTCTGCTTCTCACCTTCACATTCTTGAGTTTCATGGTTAAGTACGTAGCCAAAGCCGCAGGGAACCTGGCGGATACACTGAAATGATCCAATCACATTTCTGCATTCATAGCCGGCTTTACAGACGTCTGGGGACGCTTTGCACTCATCAATGTCTAAAATTTTAATTAGAAGATGCACATTTTAAAGTACAAGTACCATTACGGTAAAACAAATATAATTAGGTAATTATAATTGGGAGATTAGTTAGAAAATTGCAGAAGCACAATACTTTCAAACGCTGGCTCCATGAAATGCATGCAGAATGAAGATATGAAGCTTAAAATGCGAATTACATTGAAAATGATGGCGATCAAGCGCATGAGTAAATTAGTGCACAGCAATGACCTTGGACAAATATTTTAAAGGTGTTGATTGGCAACTTATTCTGTTCAAAACAGATTTAAAACTTTGAATAGCTTAGAGTGATTGACTATTTAGTATTGCATATTGAATGCCAAAGCGAGAGATTTTTAATAAAAAATAAAGCAAAAAATTTGGAATTACAGATTTTCTTTTATTAAAATGAAAATGAAAACCATATTCATTTTTCATTTGTACTTCTCATTTTGAAGGTATTAGCGGAAGCCTTAATTTTCCCATAACTAAGAGACCACTTATTTCTGTGCAATTATATGCTTAAATTTACGCATTACTACATTTCTAGCCATTAGTATAAAACTCATAACAATTTGTGGTTCAATTGCAGTGATCTCCAACTTTTCAAACATTCTTTAATGCTTTTAAATCCCCACGAAAGTGCTCGCCAATCGCTGTGACACCTTGTTGCCCCTTAAATACTGGGACGCCAATGTCGCAGTTAAAGTTCGCAACCCCTTCAATTATCGTCGTCTTAGGATCATTTGGGATAATTCCCTTCAACACATATCTACCCTTTCTCCATCTCAACTTAGGATTGAAGATCCAAGTGAAATTCCAACTGTCCCATCCGAGCGGTTAATCAAATTATCATTAACTTCATCCTGTATCCAGGCTTATTTTCTCCAAAATAGACGTGTACACTTTGTTTTCCTCCTTCATATCAAGGGATCTTCAAGGCACATATTGAGTTACCAAGGCAATCCGATAGAAGTCTATTACACAAAACCCTTAGATGGTGGAATTGTGATAGATTAGGAAAAATCCCATTTCCTCCTCAATGTTATTATGATTCTCACCGTCTGACAATTTGATAATCACTCTTTAGAGCACGTCCAATTAGATATAAGTAGCTTTCCCTATCGTCAAGTGTGCAGTTGGTTCGGCTAAATAGATGTAAATTTCAGAATCTACAGAGATTCGACCTTGCCAAGTTGTGTACTTTTTAGTTTTTTTCTGCCAGTTAGTACGATAGTTATACGGATGATAAGTTCTTACTCAGACCAGCAACGCAGAATTAACCCAGTGAGTGATATCTATCTGCTTTCAAGAGTTTCAAGTAAAGTAACCATATTTCTCATACCCTTCCAACATTCGTTTCAACCTAATATATATAATGATACAGTTACTATTGTCTGAAATCTACCTCTACTTGATATCTATGAACCAAACGCAAAGTGATGCATTAATTAATTTCACAAGCAAGTGTACAACAGTCGGAAAATAAATAAGAAAAATGGACAATAAAATGAAAAAAAATGTCACTTGCCCACACATTCGCCTTCGCGTGTTATTTGAAATCCACTTTTGCACGTGCAATCATAGCTACCTTCGGTGTTGATGCATTCCTGACCAGGTTGAGAACATGCAGTGATGTACTGATTTCCCCTCAACAGGCCCTCTTCGCATTCATTCACGTCTGCACAAATGCGCCGCGTGCCATGAGATCATGCATTTAAACAAGTGAGTGAAAAAAGGGAAGAAAAAATAAATAGCACAAGATGTTGGTGAAATGCTCATGCTCGTGCAGGAAATTAAGCAAATGAGGTAAAAGCTGCTTTCTTGTGTCATTCTACGCACTTTCAAATGTCTCTTAACTGGACAAATCTCTAAAGTCTTTTGCTACACTTGTCGTGAGACGACACCATGGATGCCACTCTGATGGAGGACTCGAATTACTTCTCTTCGTTTATGGTGATAACTTGACCAGTGTGATTGACCTTGGCGCCAACCCATTGTGCACCTGCGGCCAAAACTTGAGCTGTTTCTATTTTCGACCTCGAAAACCCAGAGAGAGAGAGAGAGAGAGATGTAGAGAATACGAAAGCTGCCACAATATCAGTGAAAACTGTCAACACCACTTATTAAGGGATCATGTCAGTGGGAAAAACAAGAAATTTAAAAAAAACACAAAAATTTTCCGGAAGCTTCGAATATCAAACTACCAATGTGTTGGCATGTGAGAATCGCGAGTCCGAATTAAGTGGTGTCGCTTTAAAAATATGTAAATAAAGAATTTTCCAAAAACCATAGCCTGAGAATTAACTTATTCCGTGGATCTCAAAATTGTATAAACAACTTTACCAAAACCATGATAGAAAAACAATTAAGGGGGTGTACTAGCGGCTTATTCATGAGAATATACTGACGTGACCTCCAACACGAATATCTGCGACCTCTAATCACGTAAATAGGCTCCGTAGTAAACATGCCGATGTTCTGGTAGAATTCCAGTTCATTTCACAGAGACCAGGATTCCCTCAAGATAACTTTTGACCACCAGTGGCGTGTGTGTGTGAATTTGAAGCGGTTATAAGCATCCAGAATTGAACTATTTTGATTATGAAAATCACTATGGCTAAATAAAGTTACTGAGGAATAAGTCACTTATCTCGACTCAAATTCTGATAAAATTGAGCAGATTTTGTCTAAGCAGACCGTTACCACCGAATTGATGAGCATTATTGGTAACAGGGCAACTATACATATACATTGAACATATTTCATGGGGCAATAACGCCTTCTGTTAAGAGTCTAGTACCAATGGAGGCTATTTTGAAAGAGGATCGTACGGTTCTAAGGGGGCGTTTGAGGATAAGAAGGAATCTCTTCCCTCATTTAAAACACTTGGATATTGCTGTTAAGTTAAGCAAACATAAGTTAAACCTTATATTTATTATAGCTAAAACGCCTTTTCAATTAAGTAGGAAATTAATGTGATTACACAAGGAAATTAGGCCAATTCTAATCAATTGAGCCTTTACGCGCCCATGTTTTATTGAACGAACTCTAATTTCTTTTAACATGCTGGCCATTGACGACAAGGTGAGTTTTGCATTTAAAGGCGAAATCTAACGGAGTTTTCGCTGACTCGCTAACCAAATGAAACATTCTCATAATTTCAAGGTAAAAACAAAACTAAAAGACAAAGCGAGACCAATCGTACCTTGTCAGAATCAAGATTTCAACTTTTAGACATTCACCTGGTTTGAGTTATATTGTTATAACTCACCTCTCCTCTTGTCGGATTCTTATCATTAACGCGAAACCATTTGATTATTCGCACTTTCAGCCTTTTTAACCCATTTCTACCAAATACTGATAATTTTAATGAAAAGAAGCTACATTTTATTCTTTATCCAACTTTTATAAGTCCGCATTAAACGAACATAGAACCATTATATGGGTTGGCACCAATCATAATTTGCTTAACATTATCACGCATGCGGTTCGATTACACTCCAAATTAATGCAATTAAAAGGTACAATGCATTAAGCCAATCACCCTAAGCCATGTTTATGCAAACCGCAAATCATGATGACATGAAACATCATCAGCCAGTCAGTTAAGTGGCTTGGTTTCAAGCCACTACTTTTCCTATTGGCAGCTGCCTTTCTGCATTTTGACGGTGTCAACTTTAACAGGTGCCAGTTTTTGCAATAGCACAATGACAACCGAATGATCAATTCCTTAACGTGAGACCAAACCCGATGCTCCTTTTTTTTTGAACAGAGCACCCAATGTCGCTCTATTAACTGTCAGATTAGAAGTATGTTTTTTTAAGATTGTGGTAAAAATATACCCACCTTCGCAGCCGTTCAGATCGTTGCGGTATTCATAGCCCTTGGGACAAGTGAATCGATCGCCAATTTTTGGCATGCATTTGTTGAGACTAACAGACAGATACATCCCCTTTGGGCACCGAGCCAATGTATGAAGACAGAGCTGCTTCTCGGAATTCCACTTAAAACCCGGCTCGCAGACAATTTCTGCCTCTGTTGTCGCTGTTGCCTCGTATGTCGAAGACGCGCTCGAAGGTGGATTAAAGGGAGTTGGCGAAAAATAGGAATAAGTCGGTGTAGTTGTGGGGGATGGATAAGTTGGCGTAGGGGTAGGGTGGGAGGAAGATGGGAAATATTGGTTAGGTGACTCAGTTGTTGTAAATTGCGATATTTCATAATCAGCGGTAGTTTTCACCGGGTATTTATCCGAGTTGGGGCGCTCCGAGACCACTCCAGAAGATGTGTACGTAGTGTAGGATGTTCCATATTCACTTGGTGACGCTGTGTATCCATCAGTTGTTGTTGCTGTTGACTGGGTGCTGCCATAGGACGTTGATGGCATTGTAGTCACGACTGTCACTGAAGTTGACGCCGTATTGTAACCTGATGTGGTGTAAGTGTAATCAGACTCTGGCAATGTCTGTGTGGTGATATTTGCGAAAGGATCCAGATCCTCTGGAACTTGAAAGTAAAATTGATGAGTGGTAATCTTTCTCCATTTACTCATTTTTTTCCTTTCATCACATACTGTGTAAGTAACACTGTTCAAGTTCGTCCAATAAATACGCCATTAGATTTTATTATTAAAGGTGGTATCTCCTTTCAAAAATAACTGCAATGTGACCATCTTCTTCTTAGTAAAAAGGAGGAGGTTGAATCTGGTTATCAATTACTAGGTGAGTGATATATTTTTCCAATGGCCTGCACATCCCAATTTTCAACTTCAACTGCAAAACATTTAGCAAACAAAGTTGGGTAGAGAAAGATTTATAAGACGTCAGTCAAAAGAGCTTATCAAATTGGTATCAGTCACGAGATTGTGAAGATTTAATTGGGGGTGGGGAGGGGGGTGGTGGTGTTGGTGGGGGAGTGGCGGATTTGGGCGAGAAAATCCTCTAAATTAGTATACCTAACCTTCCAACTAACGTTCTATGTACGCTTGTCATTGTATGAAATTCTAAGTACTCATCGTGTTCATAGATGTTGTTTGGACTTGATACTTATTATGAAACTGTAACTCACAACATCGATGTGAATAGCATGACTCAAGGTGGAATTAGCGGGATGGATGGGCAATGTGCACCTAATATCGAGGTACAGCAGACCTATGGTGGTAGTTATTACAAATCTTGGCCATCGTATGACAAAATTGACTACCAAATGCTAGCAAAGGACAGGATGTTTGGAAGAGTCCTCTAGGACAACATTCGGCATAATTCGGCATAGAAAGATGGAGTAAACAAATTGATTTCCTGAACCCACATATGAGAAATTGTCTGTTACAGTGAATCCAAAGCGAGATGGCCCAAGGACGGCTCGAATTCGCCTTCTTGAGTTAACAAGGAAAGACAATGTCTTAACTTTTACGATGATTGTAGTAGAGTGTAGCTTAGATTGACGTAAGACAATGATCACAAAAATGGGCAGTGAGTGTGGGGGTGGGGGTGGGGGTGGGGTGGGTGGGGGGGGGGGGGACGGGTAAGCGTTTGCTGACTTAAAGAAGTCACCGCCAGGCTTTACGATCAAGCAAAAAACCATGATAACAAGACCAAATGGATTAATGTTCTTCTGAGAGTTCTTATTTAAAATATTTAGGCAACCTTAACCAAAAAATAACAAATTTAGATGCTGGCCGCCATAATTTCGATACATCAGCCTCCTACATTTGTCAAAGAGTGGCATATTGATACCAGTCAAAATCTTTTGATTTGCACTAAGCCAAAGATCAAAGCACTTTAACATACTGACACTTTGAAATATATGCTTGTGTCGAAAGCAAGTAGGCAAGTTTTTTTCGATTCTAAATGGAAATACAGATTTAGGGAACTGTCATAACCATAACACTGTACCTTTTATTATGCAATTTCTGCTATAGCACAGTCATACAACTCGAAACAATAATTAGTTTTTAAAGTTAAAACTGAAGTGCAATAATTTCATCTATTTTCCATGAGACGAAGAATTCGGAATTCACTTCAATTAAAGCAGAATTAGCATTGTACCTATCCACTTGATTATGAAAGAGCTTGATTTGTGTTAACGTGTTGAAAATTTAAGCGAGCAAGCATAGTTAAACAAATGTAGCGGGAAGTGTGTTAATCTCTCCAAGTCCCGTGTTTTCGATTTTGTCCTTATTATTGCCATACTAGGGTTAATTTAAAAGACCATTCAATTGTTCAACTCAAGGTCAAATGAAGATAAATTTGGGTCTGTCTATTTAATACATCTGTGAAACACTCTCTGTTCCCCCTACCCTCTGTAAAACCCGAATTTAACTAAAGTGCTAATGAAGTCTGCCATTTGGTACTAATTTTTCATTAATTTGCAGTGGCTAGTAAAGAAGCGAGTTCAATGCGCAGTTAAATCAGATTAAATGAACACATTATCGCTGACTATATGGTCGCGAAAACAGGAAGGGGATAAATTTGAACAATTTTAGAGAAATATTGTGGAGTCAATATCTTAAATCAATAAAATTAGGCAATCCTTCTTGCATAATCAATATAAATTTAACTTACCAATAATTTAATCATCTAATTTTACAAATAAATGAGCTTGCATGTAGGTGATTTTGAAGTGCTTATACAATAAATTAAAATCAATACAATCATTTTTTTCAGACCTAAATCCGATTTTCAAAATTCCTAAAGTATGCATTATTAATACTGTTAATAAGTAGACAAAAGTAAGTACCCAATTGATTCGATTACCTCCGTTTTCTTGAGTATGAGTGAAATTAAAGTTGACTTTTCATCTAAAACTACACGTTCTTTCTACGCGACTCCTACGGATATTGTGACCTCGGTGAGAAAATGTTGAGCCAAATGTTCTCTTACGCACTTCACAGATTTCACATACATATACACACACATATGTATATATATATGGGGATACGCGTTTATTTTTCTAGAAACTCCACTTACCAACATAACCGGGTACGGAACAACAAAGTGGAACTCCGTTAATATCAAAGTCCATTGAGTCACCAGAAACAACATCAGAGGCTGGTAAGCGATTGTGCTTTCTGCAACAGTCCTAAAGAGACCCGGAAAATGCATTATTGGCCACCTCTCTGTTTCAAGTAGCCACTAAAACCATTTTAGTTGCATAGTAGAGACTCACCCTTGGAGATTTGAGAAGGTGAGGTGAGAATTCAATGATCTGTGTCACCTTGTCATTGGGAGAACCAATACTACGAGCAGCATTCTCACAGAAGACATTAGCTTTTGCAACGTAGAAGCAGCCACGCTTGATTTGTAGGCACCTTGTCATTCTATCTCCCGCCAGCTCGCTGTTGACATTGGCTACCTTGACAGAGGAAATGAAGGGTTTCCTACATTCACTTTTGACACACTTCTTCAAGTTGAATATTGGCACTTGCTATTAATTTATAATAATTCTCACTCATGCCCAGCATGAAAAAGTGCGCTATGTAGTTAATTTGCGACTTTTGCCCTTGTTTTAATATTGAGTTACCTAAGGGGTGTTAGAATCAAATTCGACGGCCGCATCAGTTGAATGGGAAATGTGGGTGATAACTGCAAAATTCAATTGATTTGAAAGAAATTCAAAAGATAAGGAGATTAAACTACGCTAAGCGTGATTGTCTTCTCAAATTTTTGCCAGTTTTTGCACCCATTGTAGTCTCAATCTGACCCGAAATCTAGTACAAGCCGAGTTTACGCTTTCCTGAAGTCCACAAATAGTGTATTTATTCCGCCTATTAATGGGTTAATTTCCTAGGCCAGCTATGGCGTTTGGGTCCTTTCTAGACAGCGCCATTAGGTTAAGATCTAGGGGTGGGGTGTTGGGTGTTGGGGTAGGGGGGGGGGGGGGGGGGGGTTGAAGTTCGGAGGTCAAGCATATATTTGAACCGATGTAGTCGTAAAAATTGGCTGTCAACCAATTTAAAATTTTTCCTGAAGTGTGACAGGGGGGATGAATCCTGCTGCTGCAGCTGCTGCTGCTGTACATATGGGTTATTATTGGCTGGCCTCGTTCGTTATTTCAGGACTTAACTACTACTGAGGGCAGGACCTGAATTCAAGCTAAGTCTCACTTTTAAAAAGTGCGGAGGTAGATATCACATTGCAACAGCCCTCAGAAGGGGACAAACATCCGAGTAAAAAGGGAGTTAGGAGAATTTTGGTCTTTACTGCCTGAGAAGTGTACTTTGGAGTGCATCCATGTCAATCAATCTGTTATTCAGTGGGTTGTGCTCGTGACATTCTCCTCGAAAAAAGAACTGCATTGCCTGTACTTCAGTGGGGCGTTTCATCGTTGTCAGATAATTTTCCAAGGGCTATTTGTGGGTCATCATCAAGAACAAACTTAGTGACAGAGATGGAAACATTTATTTGTCTGTGTTAACAGAAAAATTCCAATGCCAACGTTTTCGACCCCCCCCCCTATTTTCCACAAATTTTCTCGAGGTAATCTACTAACCACAACAACCGGATCACTTCTGCGTTGTTGAGGGAGCATTGAGTAATGATCACAATCCCACACACTTTGAATGCTGATGCGGTTCGCCATGCTAAAGTTATCCTCTTCCATTACTCAGCTTGAATTGTCTCAACACGCGTAACTGAGGAAGGATTTATGCATTTAAAGGAAGCATAGTATGTGTGGACACCTCTAACTCACCAGGAAAATCCAACCAAATATTAGCCCCAACACTTATAAGTAATCTCTGTGAAAGTGCATATAATTAAAACAAGTGTAAATACAATCCCATTGAAGCATTCAAATAACAATGTTCGAGCATCGTTTTGGTAAACTTTCATTGTAATGGTGAATGGGAGCGAAGTAAATCAGCAAACTTGGGCAAATGAGGAGGGAGTTTTAGATTTTTCTTGTCTGGTAATTGAACACTTCAACAGTTTTGGACATTAAGGTTTATTGTGGTTTGTGATCCCATATTATTGCTTATATGATGTAGATAGACTATTCAGCAATGCGTTTTCACACACAACAGTCATGCTAGTGGGGGGTGGGGGGGAGGACTTAAACTGCCATTTCCTTATCAGTCAGTATTGATTGTCTATTTCGCTTATTGTAATGCATGGATGGACACAGATCTCGTGATCTCCAATCTCATAGAATTGATAACCTAAAGAGCCTACAACTCTAGTTTTGCCTAATAAGCATTGTCCTGCAAACAAAGCAGTGTGCCACTGAGGTGTGAATAAGTCCGAGTTCAAGCACAGAAAAAGAACAAAGCACACTTAGGTGCCTCTCATGTATTCATATGATGGAGTTCCTTACCGAAAAATTTCATTGAGTTAATAATCTTTAGATTGGGTGAAGTGCTTCCCTTAGGAGATATTGAATTTTGAAATAGTAAACCCTGATATGCACCCACTTCCACTGATTTTCTCATTTTTACTGCTTGAAGCTTATTAAAACGAGGCATAGGTGTCAGAAAATATGCTTAAATTGGATGCAATCAATCGTTTACAGACATTTAATATTTGCTTATCAGGGGTGCGTGATAGACTTACCTCCACGTGGTGCACCCTGGCCAACGTATACTCATGCGGCAAAAAAGTCTATTAATCGGCAGTTGACTTCTCATTTCAAGCAACCATCACCCCCACTGTATGTCATATTCGACCCCTACCACTACTCATTTTGCCCTTTCTGAGCCTTTGTGTCTGTTTCTTTTACATCTTTGAAACACCCTTCTATTTCCCCTCCTGAATTCTTCCCACTTTGATGTTCCTCCCCTCTGTGAAGCCCGAAGTCAACTAACGGGCTAATGATAAATATCAAAACGCCTGCCATTTGTTATAAATAAATTAAATAAATATTTGCTAATCACGATTCCGCGAGATCCACTTACATTACCACTGCCAAAGTTAGCCACGTTACAGAGATTTAGCCCTCAAATGTCCCTTTTCAAAAAAAGCTCCGTTGGCACTAGACTCGTAACAGAAGGCGCGCTATTGCCGTTTGAAACATTCTTAATAAGTCCATAGTCATCGCCAGATGCCATCAAAACTCACCTCGTCGGCGGCATCAGGCTGCTTCTGTGCGACACGCGTGAGTGCGCGGTTGGATGCATTTTTGGAAATAAAGTATTTGGTGGTTAAAGCGCTTTGGCACCGATTTAAATCTAGGTTAGTGTTTAATTTCATGCTTTGATAATTTAAGAAAATGGTATTAAGTATCAACTATTCAGTTCATTTTTATGAACCTGCTCCTATTTGCTTACCAATTCCAGTGAGAATTGGGAGGGGGGGAATTGATACCCTGCATTATTTTAAGATGAAATTTTTTCATATTGATTTGACGAAGCAAACTAATGATGATAATACCTCGAAAATGGAAATGTGATTGCTCTTTCTCACCCCACAGGCTCCTAAAAAAATAAACTCCGTAGTGTTTGGACAGGACGCACAACCGCATTCAACGG